AATTAATCCCACGGGAGCATTGCAGCGCACCCAAATACCTGGGAGGAGTCACTCTGGATCGTGCTCTGACCTACAAGAAGCACTGCCTGAACATCAAGCAAAAAGTGGGCGCCAGAAACAATATCATACGAAAGCTGACTGGCACAACCTGGGGATCACAACCAGACACAGTGAAGACATCTGCCCTTGCGCTGTGCTACTCTGCTGCTGAGTACACATGCCCAGTGGGGAACACATCTCACCACACTAAAAAAGTAGATGCGGCTCTTAATGAGACATGCCGCATTATCACGGGGTGTCTGCGCCCTACACCACTGGAGAAATTACACTGCTTAGCCGGTATTGCACCACCTGACATCCGCCGGGAAGTAGCAGCCAATAGTGAAAGGACCAAGGCAGAGACATCCCCAGCTCATCCCCTGTTTGGGTATCAGCCAGCACATCAACGACTTAAATCAAGATATAGTTTTCTTAGATCTACAGAGACACTCGCTGGAACACCCCAGCAAGCGAGAGTCCAAAAGTGGCAGGCTCAAACACAGAATACCCAAATTTGTCTGTTTGTTTGTTTTGTTAAAAAATGTAATACAACTGTCTGGTTGCTCCTGACACGATAAATTAAACCTTTCATCTAAGTCAGTGGTTCTCAACCTTCCCAATGCTGTGATCCCTTAATATAGTTTCTAATGTTGTGGTGATCCTCAATGATAAAATTATTTTTGTTGCTATTTCATAACCAGATTCGCAGCTTGGGAGTGATCCTGGACTCATCGCTGAGCCTAGAATTATTACTAGTAGTAGTAGTAGTAGTAAGGTGTGGATGGCCATCTGTCAGGAGGGCTTTGATGGTGCTCTTTCCTAACTGATAGAAAGAATCTATAAGGGAAAGTCATCAAGTAAAGTCAGAGGCTGGGTAGCCATCGGTTGGGAGGGATTAGATTGTGCTTTTCCAGCATAGAAAGAACTCCTCAAAGAAGGTCAGAGGCTGAGTGGCTATCTGTTGGGAGGGATTAGATTGTGTTTTTCCTGCATGTAGGCAGAAAAGGGTCGGACTGGATGGCCTCTGGGGATTCCCTTCCAACTGGGATTCTGTTATGATTATTACTAAGCAAGGGCTGCTTGGCCGTCTGTAGGGAGGGATTAGATTGGGTAGCCATCTGTTGGGAGGGATTACATTGTGCTTTTCCCGCATGAAGGCAGAAAAGGGTCAGACTGGATGGCCTCTGGGAATCCCTTCCAACTACGATTCTATTACTATTATTAATATTATTACTAAGCAAGGGCTGCATGGCCATCTGTTAGGAGGGCTTTTTTGACTCTAGGAATGTATTATTTTTTATTTTTACTAAGCAGGTGTGGATAGCCATCTGTCAGGAGGGCTTTGATGGTGCTTTTTTCCCTTCCTGATAGAAAGAAGCTGTAAGGGAAAGTCATCAAGTAAAGTTAGAGGCTGGGTAGCCATCTGTTGGGAGGGATTAGATTGTGCTTTTCCTGCATGAAGGCAGAAAAGGGTCGGACTGGATGGCCTCTGGGTTCCCTTCTGACTCTAAGTGCCTATTATTTCTATTATTACTAAGCAGGTGTGGATGGCCATCTGTCAGGAGGGCTTTGATGGTGCTCTTTCCTAACTGATAAAAAGAATCTATAAGGGAAACTCATCAAGTAAAATCAGAGGCTGGGTAGCCATCGGTTGGGAGGGATCAGATTGCGCTTTTCCTGCATAGAAAGAACTCCTCAAAGAAGGTCAGAGGCTGAGTGGCTATCTGTCGGGAGGGATCAGATTGTGCTTTTCCTGCATAGAAAGAACTCCTCAAAGAAGGTCAGAGGCTGAGTGGCTATCTGTCGGGAGGGATTACATGGTGCTTTTCCTGGTTGGAGGCAGAAAAGGGTCGGACTGGATGGAGGATTCCCTTCCAACTGGGATTCTATGATGATTATTACTAAGCAAGGGCTGCATGGCCATCTGTAGGAAGGGATTAGATTGTGCTTTTCCAGCATGAAGTCAGAAGAGGGTCAGACTGGATGGCCTCTGGGAATCCCTTCTATTATTATTATTATTATTATTATTATTATTATTACTAAGCAAGGGCTGCATGGACATCTGTTGGGAGGGCTTTTTTGACTCTAGGAGTCTATTATTTTTAGTTTTACTAAGCAGGTGTTGATAGCCATCTGTCAGGAGGGCTCTGATGGTGCTTTCCCCCTGCCTGATAGAAAGAACCTGTAAGGGAAACTCCTCAAAGAAGGTCAGAGGCTGAGTGGCTATCTGTCGGGAGGGATTAGATTGTGCTTTTCCTGCATAAAGGCAGAAAAGGGTCGGACTGGATGGCCTCTGGGTTCCCTTCTGACTCTAAGTGCCTATTATTTCTATTATTACTAAGCAGGTGTGGATGGCCATCTGTCAGGAGGGCTTTGATGGTGCTCTTTCCTAACCGATAGAAAGAATCTATAAGGGAAACTCATCAAGTAAAGTCAGAGGCTGGGTAGCCATCTGTTGGGAGGGATTACATTGTGCTTTTCCCGCATAGAGAGAACTCCTCAAAGAAGGCCAGAGGCTGAGTGGCTATCTGTCGGGAGGGATTACATTGTGCTTTTCCAGCATGAAGGCAAAAGAGGGTCGGATTGGATGGCCTCTGGGGATTTCCTTCCAACTAGAATTCTATTATTATGATTATTACTAAGCAAGGGCTGCATGGCCATCTGTTGGGAGGGATTACATTGTGCTTTTCCTGCGTGAAGGCAGAAGAGGGTCAGACTGGATGGCCTCTGGGGATTCTCTTCCAACTGGGATTCTATTATGATTATTACTAAGCAAGAGCTGCATGGCCATCTGCAGGGAGGGATTAGACTGTGCTTTTCCTGCATGAAGGCAGAAAGAGTTGGACTCGATGGCCTCTGGGAATCCCTACCAACTAGGATTCTATTATAATAATAATAATAATAATTATTATTATTATTATTATGAAGCAACGGCTGCATGGCCATCTGTAGGGAGAGATTAGACTGTGCTTTTCCTGCATGAAGTTAGAAGAGGATCGGAATGGTGGCCTCTGGGTTCCCTACTAGGCGGGTGTGTATGGCCGTCTGTCAGGAGGGCTTTGATGGTACTCTTTCCTAACTGATAGAAAGAATCTATAAGGGAAAGTCATCAAGTAAAGTCAGAGGCTGGCTAGCCATCGGTTGGGAGGGATTAGATTGTGCTTTTCCTGCATAGAAAGAACTCCTCAAAGAAGGTCAGAGGCTGAGTGGCTATCTGTCGGGAGG